GTAGGTTTATTACGACATATTCAGACTGTTTTTACTATTTGAAAATAAATGCGATAGTAACATTTGAATACTTTTGTCTAATATATAAAATGAAATCGTTCAAACAAACTAAAATATACTGAGAAAAATCAACAAACGTTATTGTGAAATGGTGTTATATTATGCATATAAAATTTAGTTGATATATTAGGGATAATTGCTAGCTACGGATAACGACTTATTTATAAAATTGCAGCATATCTTTAGATAACAATATTATTTTTATTAATTTAAGGAAAAACGACCTCGACTTCGAGAAAGTAATATATAAAATGTCGTCTAACTAAAAAAAATGGTAAAACTCTTTCAGATACTTTGATATGATAGCAAAGCTACTTATTCGATATCTACAAATAATTTATAGGACCATCTCTAGATTAAAACTTTCGAACAATAAAAAAATAATTTTCAATATCTGCTAACAATTAGCGGAGATATTTCTAAACGTTCTTCTTTTTAAAGTCGGTCGAAAATCATATAATTTAAGCCATTAACCGTAACATTTACGAATGGAGTTTACAGTTTATCATTTTAGACATGCAATAATATGAGTAGCTCTGTGGCGTAGTGGATAAGCGCCGCGGCCCGCGATCGTAGTCGTTAAGTAACTTTCGCAAGGGTCAGTCACGGGATGGGTGACCAAAAATTATTATCTCGAGCTAAGCCGTTGGTCCCGGCTGCATTTGCAGTCGTTAATACCCTCCAATTCGCATTGGGCCAGCGTGGAGGGTTAAACTCAAACTCATTTATTGCTTTCATGTGGTGAAACAGATGTTGTTGTTTTTTATGTATCTTGACATGAACCCTGATAAGGGCACTGCAACAATAGTTAAATTAAACTATAATTATCATAAAATCAAATTAAATATAGTATAAATTATGTATCATGCATAACAATAAAATAATAACAAAATTATCATGGGTCATGGCCCATCCTCCTTAACCATCCATGAGGAAGGCCTGAGCCCCTGCAGTGGGGAAGAAAAGGGCTGATGATGATGAAATATATATAATAATTAGCAATTTGTTTAAATTAGCTTAAAGTTCAACATTGATTACGACGTAAGTGATTTATTGGCACGTGATTGCATATCGCAGCGGGATCACGGTGTAAAAACAAAGCCCGCTAAACTGTTTGAGAGCACGGGGTGTGCTCTAAAAGGCTTCGCTAACACGGCGAACTCGACTACACGTAAAATAAATAATGTTCCGTGCCGTCCCGGCTGTCGGCGAACCAGTTTGATACACACCTTTTTCACGCACGCACACATAAGCAGACACAAAATGTTCTCCCATTTCACTGTTGTTGATCGGGAAACCTTTGTCACTGTCTCCTTTTTTACAGAATTGAATTTTTAGCAAAATGAAATGTACGTCCAAAAATGTATACGTCAGCGATATATTTCAAAGAATATTTTCGTCCAAAAAGGATGACACATTCTTACTTTTTTTAAACAAAGCGCTCGTTTTGTAGTTGCTTTAAAGCTCAAATGACATTGAACGGAATTTCATACCAATAAGCAGAGTAATTCGTAAAGAACGTATAAACAAAGGTTCAGTATGAGTTGGCTGAAAAATGATAATGATAGTTAAAATATCAGAAAAAAGTCGTGTGTAGAACATTACAAAATCGCGTTGGTCATTAATTACATTTGATACTAAAGGCTTAGAATTTTAAGCCTATGCTTTAACACGGTATTAGTTAACGGAAAACCAAGAAAAATAAGCGAAGCTTATGCCAATCAGTTGTCACGTTAGCCGCAACGTTGTAGCCAGTCTTCATCTTAATCTGTCATAAGCTCACCGCTACAAATATCAGCTGTTCCGTATGACAGGTACACGGTATTATACCGATGGAAGAATGTTTGTATCGGGAGCTAATGCCACGTCACGAGCGGCACACCCCACGAGATTCGCACCAAATGAAATGTGTCAGAAACTGTTTCACGGACGATTGGACCGACGCGTTAGATAAAACTCTATTTGGTTCTTAAAATAGTCAATAGGGATCCGAATCAATAAATAATGTGGGTAATGAACAATATGAACTTATTTGATACCACATGTACCTAATGTATGTATTTGACTTCCTGCAATGGTATAGTTTTGCTCAAAGAATATGTTTTATTGTTCTGAACCAAAACTGAGTATAAATAGCAGTAACATTTGAACATTTAAAATATATAAGTATCCAGATGTTGAAAAATGTAAGTACAGGTATGACAACTAACTTAGTGCATTTAGTTTACCGTGATAGCGTCCACAGTAACACATAATTTATGAAAATTTCAAATGACTATTTGAAAGTACGCTTTTGTAATAATGGATGGACGGCTAGACAGCGGCCCATTGGCACCTTTCGATTACGGAATCCTAAAAAAAATCAAATAAAATAGAATATTTTTAGGAAAGCTTCTACCAACTAATTCATTCGTTTATTCTAAACTCATATTTTTTAAACTTTTAACTATACCAATGGCTTCAAGATCTACAGCAGACCTTGTGTAAAAAAACATATGGAACGCTAAAATAACATATCTGATTTGACATTCGTAATTTGAATGTAAACGTTTCAAAGAAAACATTGAAATTAGCATATCATATATTAGCCTCTAATGAGTCAATAAGAAGCGATGAGGGTCATTGGCTTAAATGAGGCGGTAACAAAAATAATGTGAGACGATATATTGGTGCGCGCGCGCACTGATTTATGGGAGTGTACGCGGCGCGCTCCCGAGCTAATCCTGAGCTAGGGCTGCAACCTCTTACAAAAGTATACAGTACTTACAATATTTTTTTACATTGTAACATTTATTAACTTCAATCAATTTCTTTCGTTAGAAATAACACTATTGTTATAAAGTTAATAAAACAACAAATTTAAATTGTAAACGGATTTAAAATAGTGTAATATAAAACTCTATTACACGTAGTTTACGTAGGAAATAATGTCATATCAATGACATCTTCATTAATTGCAATTTGCGATTGTACTGGCTATATGACCCAAAATTATTAATGTAATCTCCACTTCATTAATCGATGGCACCAGATATTTTTGTTATTTTGTGATCTAGTGATAAGAACTATACAAAAACATAATTTACATCAGAAGAATCAGGGCCCAGGAGATTTTGTCGTCTTAAAATAATACATTTCAAAATTAGTACTTTTAACATGTATTTAGTTAACACAATTTTATATTTATTTATTCAAAAAAACTTTAAAAACCCGTCTAAGAATGCTGTTGAGTGTAGTAGTAGTTGAGTTTTTAGATGAGTCTTAGAATTTCAATACAATTTTATGAAAATAATAAAAAACACCATGTAAATATTGTATGGTAACCCTGTAGAAAGACAAATCAGTTATGTTTTGATGAACACACAGGGCCGATTCTGTATAGCACATTACTTGAAATTAATATCAAACACTTGAACCGGTCTGCTCACCAATCGTATAGTGTCGATTTACACCTCACTATTAATAAAATCATTATTCGGATCGCTTTTCGAGACGCGGTCTTTAAGTAATATACGTGTAATATTTTTAACCGATTTCAAATTCGAAAGAAAAGGTTATTTATTCGACGACATTGAATGTTTTTTTTATGTTAATTGAAAATCAACATGATTTCAAACCTCTTTCGCCTTCTTTTTGAGGTAACGAATGCCAATACATTCTGTTATTTATATCGGTTTTCAATTATGGTTAACATAGTCTATATTAACTCTGACCACATTGACACACTTTATTCTCTTAATTCGTTTTCCTTCTAATATATTTATTTCAATCGCTTTGCAATAAAATTAATGTTACAAATAAAACGCTTAAATATCTTCATTTTCGTATTCCTTTACCAATATCCAAAATTTAGTATGAATCAGGAAATTAAAATCTCTTAACATATAGGAACTTTACTAATGTTTAGAGCTACTCGAAATAGCGAAGAAACCAAAAGGTATCCGAAGCATTCATATGTAAACACGTCCTACCGCAGAATCCAGGCGGGCCTCCAAAACTATTGACAGTGAGTGTGGATGCGATCAAAATTAAGACCAGGATTATGAAGGGAACCGAAATAGACGGTTCAAATCCACTAGGATTAAGGGATACCGTGTTCCGTCGGCCGGCGCACAAAAATATCTAAGGCGCGCCGGATGCGACGATTATCTAAACATTTCTTATTGTGATGCACTTCTCGTAAGTAAAAAATGTAAGATTTATGAAAAAATTTAGATCCTGTATTTGGGAATGTGAAAATTTAAATGAGGATGCGATAATTTTTTAAGTATATATTTTTTCACAATTGAATCTCTTAGTTACGAAAAATTTTGTGTTCTAAACACTGTAATAAAATACAATCATACAAGATACGCGCGTAAAAGGCAAATTTCCTAAATATGCATTATGAAATGTGAATTATGACGTCATACTGCATTCTGGCGAAATCCGAATGGACAAGGCCAATAATAAAAAACAAGAGAACATTATTTTAATGTTTTTTTATTGTGATACACTTTTAATAAAAAGGAGTAATTTCGAAAAATATAGAGTACGTTAATTTTGGTTTGGTTTGGTTATATTATGAATATTATATATCGACATTTCGATTGTAATTGTTTATTACAATAAACATACTTAAATGGTGTATTCTTGAAATATGGCATTTTGATAAATTTAACGACTAAATCGGAAATAGTTTCATATCGCATTAATGTAGTATGTATTATGAACTGTATTATGTGATTAATGAAAATCATTTATTTGTATTTATTACTATGAGTTTTTAATTTAAAAAGTATTTAATGTTTCCTCGATTTGTTTTTCAAAATAGCGCCAATGCAAACTTAACAGTAAACACGAATTCAAACCTGCCTCAAGTAAATTTTTGTACAGTATAACTATAAATTTATATGCAGTTTTTTAATAGAAAAGTATATTAATTAAATGCTGTTACTCACTCTGACTCGCGCTTCAGTGAGGTTTGTCCACATGGCGATCTCCTCGCGCGTGGACATATCAGGGTATCTATTTCTAGCGAAGGTCGCTTCCAGCTCTTGCAGCTGTTGGCTGGTGAAGTGCGTCCTCTGGCGTCTCTGGCGTTTGTTCTTCTTGTCCCCTTTGTCGTCCAGCGACGGTTCGTCTGGACCAACCCCAGGTGTCGTAGATTCTGTTTTGATCGTTGGCTCCGACGTTAACGCCCGATTGTCTATGGAAGAGAAATTAATTGCTTTTACAAATGTAAAACAGAATAAAAAGGTTTTACGGTTGTGGTGTGATGTTAAGAATAGTTAATTATATATATCGATAAATTCAATATTTAGTATTCAAAAGTGCTCAGAATAAATTTATTAGTATGTTAGTGTTGGATAACTATTAAAAAACCAGCTAAGTCATAAATTCTATTCACGTACGAAGATTCTTTTTGAGTTTCTTAAATATTGATAAAAAAAAAACAAAAATAGTTTATTGCTGAAATCATTTCAGGTTACAAACTAATACGCCGAGATTTCCCAGTGAGTAATCAAAGATACTCGTTATGGGAATGACTCGCAACTTCCCCATTGTCTACCAAAGATTTCATACAAGTTTTCATATAAATTTTTAATTCGTTTAAATATCTATTTCAATATATTGTTTTAAATATATTCAGTATTCTGAATTCATCCTTCCTGCCGACTCCCGTTTCAGCAAACTTAGAGCAAAGTAGACACTTATAAACTGGACAATAAAGTTTAATGTTATTAAGGAAGGTTTTAAAAAAAGTAGCATTTCGTGCTTCTTCTTCATATTACCTTTAATTGTGCCAGAGATACGCCCGCAATATTATTATCCCTAAACTACAACAACTTATATTACCCCCAACATTGACGAGCATTACAGTGGGCAAACCCCCTATCAGGTGGACCAACGATCTGACAAAGGTTGTGGGAAGCCGCTAAATGCGGGCAGCACAGGACCGATCGTCTTGGAGATCTATGGGGGCGATCTATTCTCAAGAGTGGGCGTCGTACGGCTGATGATGATGATGACCCCTTTCATGGAATGCTAAATTCCTTCCCATCCACTAAGTGAATGCTCAAATCAATTGCAGATTTGCTGGACCTATTGAACATTTTATTATTTCTCCCTATTAGTAAGATTTAAATAAGGAATTTCAGTATTTCGCATTTCGGATACTTCTTTATTCTTTGACATCTTTAAGCGCATTTGATCACCAATAAATTCACTTGTTGTCACTACTTTGAGACGTTTGCAAGTTTGGTAAACAGAGGTCCAATGCTTTTGCTTTACGTATTAATATTGATAACGATTCTCGTTTCACATTCACAACTATATCATAAGCAAATCACTATATAAAAAAAGAGTGATTGCCGGTAGCGATCCCATAATACGCAGGATTAGGCGCGCGCGCATCTAATACATTTACGACGCGCCTGTAAATTTGTTGCCCGATCGACGTGGCCGGGTGCTTCACAAAATTTATATTACCTATAAAAATCTATTTATAAACATTAATTTTTTTACGAAAAACGTGAAAACATTGCTCATAGACTAAATTAACATATAAGTTATTTATTGTCTGACTATAGATTTCCCAATTTTAAGCGAGATATTATTCTCAACTCCTCGCAGACGATTTTACGGAAAGGAACTAGTATTAAATTAAATGGGGCTAAAACACGCCATCTGTTCATAATGGGGCTAACGGTCGAGTGCATCATTTGCCATAGATAATATAATACTATGTACCTGGTAGTTCCGCGTCCTCGTGACATATCGTGGTACGCAGATACGATGTTATTACATCAATTTGTTACTGATAAACCGTTTCTAATCAACCGTATATTGACTTTACGCAAAATCCTAGTCAAATTGAATATTAATTTTTATATAAAACGGGAATTACAATAAAGACTGCATAATTTTAAAAGCTGTTAATAAAATCTACTAAACCAATGAATACAAACCCATATGGTCGGATCTGAATTGAGAAGAGTGCAAAATCTCAACTGATTATTCACAGTAACTGAAGTTTTTTGTTTCTTTCGCGTGGTAAGAACACCTTTATGAAACTGTTATTAACTGACCTTTAAAAAAAAAAAAAAATGAAAACCTGTTCACATGGTGTTTAAGTACGGTTTGAGTTATAAATTCTCAATTCGGAAACCGGGTGATAGAATATTAGAACTTGACGACAAAATATCATCAAAGATCTTCTTCTTCAGATGATTTAGGTAATCTCAATAAGTTTCCCCTTCTTGTTTTGTGCAATTAAACGAATAAGTCTAATACTGTAATTTTATTTCTTCCCTCCCGGGATAAAGTAATCCATATTCGTATTTTTGTTTATCAATTTTCCGATTAAATATCATATTAATAACTTTTAACTATCAATAACTAATCATAGAAAGTGACCAATTATAAACACTCAATCAAATAATGATAGCAAATGTTACAGATGAGGCATAGAACATAGAATATGAAGGAATTTCACTTTACTTGATTTAACAACAACACAATTGACTGAATCTTTAACTTGCCATATTAGGCTCTATTACTATGTCTCCAGTAGTGATTAAAAAAGACAAGGAAACTCTTTTCACAGATAAGGCTACAACTAACCTAACCAGTCATCGTTTACTTCGCCATCTTTTATATAATATAAAATTACAAAATAATTGATTTCCATAAATAATTGATACTTTCGAAATAAGCGAATAATATTATTACTGGGTTGCCGCAGCGTAAAATTTTATCTTCTTTAATTTCAATCAGTCAATCAATCAAATTTATTTATTTGGCACATACACCGGACACTTACAGACAACCAACAAAATTAATTTCTCAATTTCCTCTAACATGGTTTTTTTTGCAACCTTTACTTTAAATAACGAATTAGAATTTATTTATGATTAGCAGATTAAAGTTTACCGATATAAAAGTTAATCCCTTAATCACAAGGAATCATAATTGACAGCCTCATAATGGACAGGTAAAATGGACGGAACGCTTATATTTTTCATTAAAAATTAGAACAAAGGAGTTCAATATACTGCATTATAAATTCTCTGTTAACTTCAACTAATTTCAAAGAGCTATTTATTATAGATTGCTTAGAAGAGATCGAGGTTTTTGTTAATGATCCGGAACTTTAGCTCATCGGCTTATTATCAAGCATGGCGCAAATATCCATAAAGTCTGTCTCTCTTCAAAAGTTCTTTCATGTATATTTTGTCTCTTTCTAGAGTAATCTTTACATAGTATAATACAAAGTCGCTCTCCGCTGTTTGTATGCTGAGATCTTTTAAATAACACAACATATTTCAATGCTGTTTTTATTAAAGTATAGAGTGATTCGAAACGAACATTTATGTGTATAAAGCTAGCAGAAAACTAGTAGTTTTTATAAAAGTAAATAAAAATATGTACAAAACAAAAAACGGTTTTAAAACGTACGAATTGATACCTAATCATTGTATGCGTGAAAACATTATCTCAAAGAGTTATCATGTCTTGACTAAAATAGTAAATTAAATATGATTTATATTTGTTATCTTATTCTTGTCCATTCGCAAGTGTTATTTGCATGTCAGAATTATCTACTTACGTTTTTATTGCTAGCATTTATGTATCTTGATTGAGTACAGTATTTGTTAAGTTATCCTTTTTATTTCCAATCAGACTTCATTTGATTTTAGCCGATAATTTTATCGAAGTAGATAAATAATTAAAATACTGTGGGGCGGTCGTTACAATCACATCGTATACTTCGCAGTTTACAGGGAGTATTCGTCATTTTTAAGTAACAATAAATTAAAATATAGTTTAGTAACTTGAACGTAAAAGTCATTAAATAAAACTGGTTTTAAACGGTGTCATCGCGTGTAATTTTGGAAAATTATTTCAATTTTTCAGACGTTACAGATACATTACAGGTGTCGTGTTTTTCCGCAATCATTTCCTTTTGGAAACGTCGGTATTAATTAAATAACTATCACAAAACCCCTAATTACCATAAACTACCAGTAATTCCAAATTTGGAGCCTTTCACATTCTTTATTTCAATCTCTAATCTGTTCGGCACTGCGTTCAATCTCAGAACAAACACATTAACGACTCCACCATTTAGATCTTTGGATTTTAGATCATCTAGATTGAGAGCATAAGATACAGACATTGACAGCATAAAATAATTTTGACAACATAACACTCTAAGTCTTATCAAGTGCATAAAAATTACTTGGTGTTGCACTTTATGTTTTACTAAAAAACGTTATCTATTATTGAGCTTATCTTGTCTCTGATGTAACATCGTTTCTTAGGCATACTATTATTATTAGTTTATTATAAACCATGTATCTCATACAGGATACGTTTGGAATCCGTATACAACTTCATTACTAAACTTATATTATAAAAAGTTAAAGTTTCTAATTTTGATTGTTTGTAGATGGTACCTTCAGAAATACTGATCAACAGAGCGATTTCGTTAAAATTTGAACACGAATTCGAATTCATACATATCTAACACCCATTTTCACTTACCTAGAACAAGGTCTAATATTACGAATCTCCTAATCAGATTAGGTTAATTCCAAATAAATATTTTTTTCTTTTATCCCTTGACATATTTATGACCTGTCATATACGCTAACGCCTAGCGCAAGGCGCCGCATAACGAATATCACAACTTTAGATATTGCTTAATTTCATTTGGTTCAAGTCAATAGTAAAATGCGTTTTTACCTTAGGCGATTCCTAAACATTTTGGCGACAGATTTGGGCGACTTAAGTTTAGTACACGTTTTCACTTTTCAGATTAGATATTTTATTCCTACGTCATTTCGAAACTCACTTCGAAACGTTAATACTAGTTTAAGGTTAAGCAGATGTCTCTTTCGAATTGTGAGACTCCTGAATGAATTCGAATTCGGGTTCGGATTTTTATGAAATCGCTCTGAAAATCGTTTCACCAATAGGAAGCTACATCATGGCGGGTAACATAGGCGTGCGAAGTCGTGAAAGAACAGCAAGCAAAACATATTGTTTCAATATTCATTTTAAAAATTAACATTTTTATTTTCTATTGAGTATACAAACTGTAATAAGTAAATAAACTGTAGGTAGAGTGTCAAAAATCGGTCATCACCCTCAAAGAACAAACACCATCTTTCTGTCTGGTGTTAAGTGGTTAAGAAAGAGAGTGAATATGAATCACAGTAAATAACGCAATATTATAATTGTACTGAATATATTATTTTTTTCTTGTATATGGATGTGGAGCTTATTGCCATGTAATGAACAAGTTGGATTACGTATGAGCTTAACACCGCTACCGACTGGACCGTACGTGTGGATAGGGCTGGTCCAACGACCATGACCGATTGAATCTTACTAAAGTGAATTCAATGAAATATCAGGCCTAAGAAAAACAGCCCTTGCTGAATTTTTTGTTAGTCTCGGTACGAGGCCTTCCGCCGTAGAGTTACGAACCGTTGGCATAGAGTTCCAGCATTATATGTACTGAGCTGAAACCGTTTTTGATTGCTTGTGTAATTCTCGATTTCTATATTTATTACTGGGTTTACACTAGGGGTTTCGCTGACAGACCACGACGACTTGGCAGTACATATATCACTAGAAACCATTTAGGGGAATAATATGTTACAAATAAATGTTTTATTATTATTTTTATGTAAAGCTATGTCTATTTTACTTAGATGTGACTGTTTTAATTAATTAATTAAAAATAAACTGCTAAATGTTACGCTAAACACAAAAGTCGAGAACGGCTGGGCTTACCAGCAATAACATTTTCCTTTTCTCTTAAAATCTGGATGTTAAAAAATTCTTATAAACCTAACCAGTCGAAATGCTTAATTATAATCGTAAATAAAGATACAAGACCTTAAATCAATCCGTACCAATGGTTTATCAGTTTATAATTAATCAAAGATAGAAACATTTTCGGTTTTTCCAGCGTTTAGCAGCCCTGGTAGGTGCGATACGACCTGATATAGTTTATCGCGATATTCTTTGAGCGAACGCCGGCCGTCACATCGATCATCGCAGCTACCTTTTAGGCAAACCGCACGTCAACAAATACATGTGTTAACTATCGGTACATGTTGTCACTTCACACCGATATACAAACATACATTACAGCGATAAAAAAATCGTTTCTTTATATATATCCACTTATTTTTACTAGCACTAGTTACATAACCAATGCTATATGACGATTGGAATGTACTCGTTATTATATTAATGAGATAACTAGTCGTTGAAGCTCACTTTGAACTGCAGGCCAGTTCTGTTAATGTTGACCTAAGTCCAATATTATTAGTGCAATGTCTTCATCAAACATCAATAATCACAATTATACAGGGTTATGGGTAATCAGACCGGATCATTTTTAGGTGTCGCAGGGTAGGTCATTTATAATTATTTTCACCCCACATTGTATATCCGAAAGTTATTTTATTAAATGCACTTTTGTTTGTAAATTTACAACTACAAAAAAACTACTTTTTATTAAAAAACTCTGTAGTTTCTGTTTGGGTCAAGATTATTTGGGTTTTATTATTGTTTATCACGAACTGGACTGTTATCTCTCCAAAACTGTCAACAAAATTAGATGCTGACCATATTTTTTTCGACTTTTTAAAGAAACAAAATGAATACAATTTATCGCAAAAATGGCTCACTTTCGGATAATTAACATGTAAATGACCTCCCCTACGTCCCCTCAAAAGAATCCGGTCTAATTACCCATAACCCTGTATAATAATATTGAACTTCAGGTAGATAGTAAAATGTAACTAGTTGAGATTGCCCGAGCCGAGCACTGTAAAGTCCAAGCACGTTATTGTAAATTACTTTCTCCGTAGTCTCTATGCCTGATGATTAGAAGTCTAGGCTTTTAATTTATGAAATGTAATTCCGCGTTCGCGCTAATATTTAAGTAAGATTAATGAGTAAGTTTCTCTCTTTGCTTTTCCAATGATGAAGGTCGACTTAAGAATACGAATTGTTATATTATATTGTTAAAGTAATTTTCTTATTAAATATAAGAAATTTTAAATAATAAATATATTTTAATCTATATAAGTCGTGTTAGTTCATCATTTATAACTCTAGAACGGTCGGACGTTTTTATTATACTTGTGATTTAGGATAAGAAGTATTCTAATTTTATTTTTTATCAACAAATATAATATGTAATATATGTTAATGGTCATTTGTCATAATAAAATGCAACTGACAGTTCATGTTATGTTGTCGATGTATACTTATATAGTTTATTTTAAATTATCGCTAAATTCTAAATGACGCTATAACAAATATAATACAAGTAGTGATCCACAACGCGGGTCCTGCATTGTACGGTCCTTTAGTACCTAGTTGAGTTGGTAACAGTAAACGATACCGATTATAAATCAGCGCCAAAACGAGTTTACGATGAGTAATTTTTGATAAAAAAAAAGTGCCAGGGACCAAGAGGATTTTTTAAGCATTTTCTATTGAGAAAATAATACTCACTGTCATCTGTGTGCTTGCGGTCCCGCCTCGGTCGTGGCGGCGCATATAGGGACTGCTCTACGCCCGAGCCAGCGGACGCAAGCGACGAGTGTCCGCTGTCCCGAAACTCACCCGTTTCCGCCCATACTGCGGACAAAGAGAAAACTATTAAAACTATGTATGAATATTGTTAGACTTGCAGTAACAAATCAAAGTAATTAAATAGTATTTATTAATAACTAGGTGGATGGTTTTCCATCCTATAAAGCATCGAACTGACTCTACAAACACAAACAAGATAAATTTTATTTTTAAAAACAATCTTTCTTTGAACAAAAGACTAAGTAACAATTGTTACTTTTTAGTGTTGAACTATTCAGAATGAATTTTGAATTGTTTAATTAAATGAAATCCAATTTTGATGGTATTAAAAATAGACAGTTTAAACAAAAACAAAGTAATAAGCGGTGCGTTCGAAATACGAGCTCGCTGTATTTTCTTGATTCAAAAACCCCGTTGAATTCAGACGCTCTCAACATTTATGTTGAAGATATCAAAGAAACTACTTTAAAGCACTGTCAACGTAATTCACAACGATGTATCCATTTCACTGACACGACGAATTATTTCAGTGCACATGTAATTCTAATTAAAAGTAACTAATAGGCTCATTATTAACTGAGAATCTTGACAAAGTGGAGGGCTATGATGCCCCGTCGCTTAGCCGTAATTAACCCTCGAACGCTTGTTAACAAATCAGTCTTTGGAGAGTGTGCACACGCTTTAAATTATCATAGCGAACGGGTGCGTCAGTCACGAATAGGGATGAGGACTGGGTTAAAAAAAAAAGAAATTCTATTTAGTCCTCAGTCAGATAATAGAAAAACATTACATACGTATTTTTTTAACAACAAGAAATGGCTTAGAATAATTTAACAAGAAATGGCTTAGAAAACAGGCATTAAATATTCTTAATACAAAATGCTTAAAAATGCACTTGGTCCCTGGCACACCAATCCTAGTCAATCTACCCAGGAATTAGCGGTATGGTTTAACGTTACCTTATCCACAATATTGACTCATTAGAATTATACGACATACCTCTTGTTAGAATGAGATAAACAAACTATAACTCCATTCATTATAGCATTAGACAGAAGTTAAATAAGGTTCTTTTTATGGTATACTTTGTGACAAAATATCAATAATCATGTCACACTTAAGACTGACGGCTAATTTGCTTCATATCCACTTAAATACCAGCTGCTATACTTAACTGTTGTCATTTAAGCTATCTATTAAACAAATTTATGAGTATATGACTAACTTAAATGATTTAATAAGAATTACAATAAAAAGTGTTCATCGTAAAGAACCTAAAGAAGTAGGGTTGGATAGTTTCGGCACGATTCTCATGTCACTATAACTCTACCAAATTTAAAACGTTGCCTAACCCCTTCAAACGTTTCGGCAGTACAGCTTTTTAATTTTTTCAGACTATTATTTATTCGTAATTGTTAAAATCGTAATCTGGGATTGTCATCTATTGCGAATGCTACTGCCTTTATTTTTGTTTTGTTTTTGTTGTTAAGTTTTGTTAAATATGGACGATGCCCGTGCAGGCCCGAGTGGCCTACAAAAATTACGCTCTAAGCCCCTACCCTCAACCTTTGACTAACTAATTACACTTACAATTAGAATTTATCAAAACAACAGACAAATAGTTTCAGTTTTAGTTCCATGTTGGCTTGGGAGTAAAAGATGAATTTATAAAATGCTGGCCTCACCTCAACCCCGAGGTATCGTAAAAAATGGAAAATTGCCCAGCTCTTTCAATCTAACTAACATTCAAAGTTTCAACAAAACTAATAATATTTTTTAAATTTATCTTGAAAATAAAATGTTCTGCACTGCTGCTTCTATGACCCTCTTTTTTCTAATGTTATAATGAATGGAGTATAGATATATACCTAAAGTTACCAGACGTCCCGTTTTTCTGTACTGCCTTGTTACCACGGGACACAAAAATGTCCCGTTTCCGATGAGAAAATATTGTTCGACGCACACTATTGGTTGCCAATTAAGGGTAAATTAAGTCATAAGAACTCATGATTGCATTCATGAATTTTCTTAACAAAAAAACAAACCCGTCTAGATATAAAGAAAACATGGTCACTTTATATACCACGAAACCACTAAAAGCGTTTGAAAATCTTGGAAAATCAACGAACTTCTTCTGTGAAATGTTAACTACTTATACAGTTGTTTTTTATCGTTGTTTATTGTAAGCAGTTACTTATTATGTTTGGTGACAGTGGAAGCCAAGTGTTTTGTGAAAAGTCACGTACGATCGAGATTGATGTCTGAGCGTCGCGAGCAGTTGCAATTAAAACGAAGTTTCCCTATTGTCTTTCATTTTCATTTTGTTTTATTTTCTGTGATTTGTATTGAAGACTCTTCTTATAATTGAACAATGAATAAACGTGAGAATGGATATACATTCTATTTTTTTTTCATAAAAAAGTTTTTTATAAAGGCAGTGGTTGTACCGATATATTCAGTTGCTTGTGCACTTATTTTTTCGCAGTATAAGCTATGATTAGTATAAGTAATGCCGCCGTGTTCGTCTCCAAGATTCACACAACTCTGATGAATTGTTACTATTGAAGTATTCATTAGAACTCGACGGATTTACCATCGAGAGCAAAGTTGAATGTTTTTTCGTATATTTGTTAGATTTGACGTTCCGCGACCAACGCTTCTTCTTTTAGACACGCACTGACTCATATTATAAAGTCAGTCTGACGTTAGGTTACCGATGCGACGGTTCTTCCGTCAGATATGCACCGATACTTAAATTTTGAATAAAAATGCTAACCAAATAGTTTATATTAAAAAAATAGATAGGTATATCTCATTCGATCCCTTTGCTATCGTAAACTTTTTTACTTCTCTTATATAAAAAATAATACACAATTGTATGTTTATGAAAATACTAATTTTGAGATATCTTTATTTAACCAATTCAAAGAAGAATTTATTACCACGACTATGGTTGATAATATTCCAGTATAAAAAAAAAACTAAACTATAAACAAAGCTAACGAATCTCTGTAGTCACAACACAGTACAGTTGCCAACAGAGGTGTTGGCCAAATAAATTAAAAAAAAAAAGAAACTATAAAAATTAAAAGTCATATGTGTCACGTTATCGCGTCACTAGAACAAACGTCGGTCCGTACAAACGTTGAATGTAAACGACACTCGTTCAAATAAAATTTATGTTTGCCGCTTTGATAAGCGTGATAAGCGAGCGTTCATTGTTTTATTGGGGTTGTAAACTGCGTGCGGAGAGTCGTTTGCGGTGATGAACTGAAAGCAATCGTGCATAAAAGTGTTCCGAATGCGATTAACAAACGAAAACAGACTATTTTTTTCATTTGTAAATTGTAATCGAAATCTAATTTTTATTGGTATACATATAAGGCAATGTGATGATGGCAAATGGTAGAGTAATAGAAAGTTATTTACAATAATAATAGTGTGAACTTTTATGAATTTGCTTAGTATAATTACTAAGCCAGTATTAGTACCAATTCTGCTGTTACGACTCTTTAAAATATACCATAGATACACATAAACTATAACTATACTAACTTTAATTTGGGTCTTATTTTAACGTTATTTCATAGTCATATGTAATCAATAAGTATAATTACACTCTTGTTTAATAAAAACTCAGGCTGACAGGATTGTAAATAAATAAAATTTCTACTATTGAGTATTTATTCTATTCTTTAGACATGTGTACTAGACTGTACTTTACATTTGTCATTGCAAGTGTATCACCACATAACAGGTTACACAACACTATATAAATGATAATGATGTGCGAATAATTTCAGATCATCACCACTAAAAATGATAACTAAAAATGTTTTCATCCTAAAAATGAAACAATTTATGCAATTATACATTTTAAGATATGAAAAAAAATGAAGAGAATAAAAACACCTTAATCTAAACTTGTATTTCAAAGTATGGATTTATTCAACTACTTTAAATTTGACAAACACACTACAAATTGAAAAAGTGCAAATTCTGATATCAGATTGTAATTCTTCTCATTTCGATATTTTATTGTCAATTAAGTGATTTTGTATTTCAATAAAGAAAGTGGGGTGTGTTAAGTTAAAAGGAATTGAATTAGAAAGTCGATTAAATTAAATATTTCAAAGAAATCACACTTAAACATTGAAATTTCATCTAACAATGAATCACGCAAATAAAATACTTTGACTTTGACGCACGACCAAGGCATCCGTTCAAATTCTAAACCATTAATAACACTACATAATATATATACAAATTAACATAATTTAAAGGACAGTTCATAATGCACATATTAAATAGCTTTAGATCACTCAGACGTCGTTAGGACTGAACATATTAATTTTATAGTCATTGCGTTGGCGAGCTTAGCTGTATATTAACCGATAAATATATCATGTCGCGACTAAATTCATTTTATAGCTCCTCTTGTAATTGATAACTAGTATATACTTGTATTAGTGTTATATTTTGTGAAATTTGGTATAGATTTTCTATTTTTACCCATTATCACATAAAAATAGCTTATCTGATTTAGATAATGTCCATGTTATACATTAGTTAACATTGGGGTCGTTCGTATGATTTTAATATGAAGAAATCTCATGACGATTCACTTTGTTTCGTACAGTTTTGTAAGGTTATTACTATCTATAGTAGTTACTATCTATGTCAACCCTGTATTATGTAGTTACCCGAAGTAAAAAAAAATTAAATCGGTTCTGTAGTTTCGGAGCCTATTCTATGCAAAGAAACAAACAAACAATCAAATGTTTCCTCTTTATAATATTACTGTTGATTTACTCAATTAATACTATTAATATTTATAAATTATAATCAATAAATACACCTATGGGATTGTATGGTATCTATAGTAGAAAATTCATAGCAACCAAAACGCCATTCACTTTTTTCTAAATAGATTATATGTAATGGCTTCAAGAAAATTGCCGTACCCTTTCAAACTTTTTGCTCGACTTGGCGCGGGCGCTTCCCTGCTCCCAGATCTTACTATTTTGAGTTTGATTTAATGATGGCTATCTCCGTAGTAAATC